GCTGTGACCAATCACAGCTCACTCAACAGTTCTCAATGGCTGCAAGAATGCAGCTAGAGAGAAGGAGAAATGATTGTTTTTACATCCTTTATGGGTATAAAAGCAATCAGTGAAAAAAAAAAAATCTTCATCACCCCCCACAGTAGTACAGTGTCACCATGGTGACATTGTACTGCTAGGGTGACAGTATGTAAAAAAAAAAATTAATTAAAAAATAATATTAAAAAAAATAAAAAATAGTAAAAAAAAATGTTTAAAAATTATAATTTTTGGTTATAAACTAATTTGGGTTATTATTTTTTTTACTAAAAATATAACAGAATAAATTTTGGCCAAGATTTATGATGAAATACTATTTATTTGCAAAATTTTATAAGAAAAACACTTTTATTCTAAATTTTTGGACTTTTTAATTTACATAGCAAAAATTAATTAAAATCCCAGCGGTGAATAAATACCACCAAAATAAAGCTTTATCTGTCTCAAAAAACTGTTAAAAAATTCATATGGGTACAGTGTTGCATGACCACGCAATTGTCATTCAAAGTGTGATATCACTGAAAGCTGAAAATTGGCATGGACAGGAAGGGGGTAAAAGTGTCCGGACTGGAAGTGGTTAAAGCTTCTTTGAATGAAAAATGATCTATTAATAGAGGAGGTGTACTTTTCATTCATTTCCTGTCCTCCATTCATAGATCACTTTTCATTTACTGTTCATTATATGCCTAAACTGTTCCACCGTAAACTCTGCTTTGTACGGTATTTGCTTCAGACTGCTACTCTCAACACCTTGCTGAGCATTATACAGTATATTCCACAGTGCTGCTCTTTGCTGAACACTGCTCCATACGGCTCCTTTCTGTACACTGCACTGTGCACTATATGCTTCAAGCTGCTACACTCTTAACAACATGTTGTACATCATATGCCTAAAATTGCTCCATTTTGAACACTGTGCTGTATATTATATTCTTTAAAACTGGCCCACTGTAAACATTGTGCTGTACATTATATTCTTCAATATAAACACAGTGCTGTATATTACATACTCAGTTTCATTTTGAACACTGTGCTGTACATTATATGCCCCAAACTGATCCACTCTGAACAACATGCTTTACATTATATGCACTATACTGCTCCACTTTGAACACTGCACCGTATCTGATATATTCCAAACGTTTCTACTCTAAATACTGTGCTATATATTATATACTCAAAGGTCTCCATTTTGAACACTGTTCTATACATGAAATGCTCCAAGCTGCTCCACTCTGATCATTGTGCTGTCCATTATATACTCATAACAGTTCCACTTTACACATTGTGCTGTACATTATATGTTTCAAATTGATCCACTCTGAACAAAATGCTGTACATTATATGCACCAAACTTCCACTTTAAACACTGCACTGTACCCTATACACTATAAGGCACTTCGCTCTGAACACTGTGCTATACATTATATGCTCCACTCTATAAACACTCTGCTTCCTGTTAACACTCTGCTGTACAATATATACTCCAAACTGCTCATTGTATACACTCTGCTGTACAATTTTATTCCAAACCACTCCCTGTTTAAAACTATGGCTGTACTATATATACTCCAAACTGCTCCCTGTATACACTCTGCTGTACAATAAATACTCCAAACTACTCCCTACATGCACTGTGCTGTACAGTATATAATCCAAGCTGATCCCTGTATACACTCTGCTGTAAAATATAAACTACAAACTACTCCCTGTTTACACTCTCCTGTACAATATATGCTCCATATTGCTCCCTGTATACACTCTGCTATACAATGTATACTCCATATTGCTCCCTGTATATAGCAAAATTAGCGAAGCGCTGCTGTATATCTCTCAGATAAGTAAGAAGAAATAACTTAAATAATGTAACATAACCAGAAACTCAAAGTAAGCCATAAAACAAGAATCACTACAACATTGCTTAAAAATCAGTGCAAATATAGTTTCAGAAAACAGTGTACTATTGTCCTAATACTAATATATAAAATAATACAATAGTATGCTGTTTTTTAAAACATTATTTGCTCTGATTTTTAGGCAATGTTGTAGTGATTCTTGTCATCATTTTATGGTTTACTTTGAGTGTATGATTATGTTACACAATTTATTTTTTTTTGTACTTTACTGAGATATATACAGCAGGATTTCAATATCTTTACTTTGCACTATTTAGTTGTTTGGGAACATGCTTAAGTGATAGCTGCAGCTGAACACTTGTACACATATTTATTTAAAGTGACAGCACAATAGTACATTTTTGTTTTATTTATTGGTACTCATATATATACTCTGCTGTACAATATATACTCTGCACTGCTTCCTTATACACTCTGCTGTAAAATATATTCTTCAAACTACTGCTGTATACACTCTGATGTACAATATATACTCTGCACTGCTTCCTTTTACAATCTGCTGTACAATATATACTCCAAAACTACTCTCTGTAAACATTCTGATGTACAACATATACTCCATATTTCTTCCTCGATACCCTCTGCTGTAAAATATATACTCTAAACTACTCTCTGTAAACACTCTAATGTACAATATATACTCCATATTGCTTCCTTTTAGACTCTGCTGTAAAATATATACTCTGTCTGTAACTACTCTCTGTAAACCCACTATGATGTATACACTCTGATGTACAATATATACTCCATATTGCTTCCTTTTAGACTCTGCTGTAAAATATATACTGCAAACTACTGTCTGTATACACTCTACTGTAGAATATATAGCCCACACTACTCTCTGTATACACTCTGATGTACAATATATACTCCATATTGCTTCCTTTTACACTCTGCTGTACAATATATACTCCAAACTACTGTCTGTATACACTCTGATGTACAATATATACTCCATATTGCTTCATCTATACCCTCTGCTGTAAAATATATACTTCAAACTACTCTCTGTATACTCTCTGATGCACAAAATATACTTCATATTGCTTCCTCTATATCTTCTGCTGTACAATACATACTCTAAACTATTCTCTGTATACAATCTGATGTACAATATATACTCCATATTGCTTCCTTTTACACTCTGCTGTACAATATATACTACAAACTACTCTCTGTATACACTCTGCTGTACAATATATACTTCAAACTACTCTCTCTGTATACAGTCTGATACACATTATATACTCTATATTGCTTCCTCTATATACCCTCTGCTGTACAATATATACTCCAAGGTACTCTCTGTATACACTCTGATGTACAATATATACTCCATATTTCTTCCTTTTACACTCTGCTGTACAATATCTACTTCAAACTACTCTCTGTATACACTCTGTTGTACACTATATACTCCATAGTGTTCCCGTGTACAATATATACCCTGTTATCACTAGTATGTGTATGTATGAATGTATGTTAGGGATCTTAGATTGTACGCTCCTTGAGGGTTAGGAACTGATGTGAATGTACAATTTATATACGTAAAGTGCTGTGTAAATTGGCGGCTCTTAATAAGTACCTATGATAATAATCACCTATTAATCCCCCACTGAGTCATCAACACAGGATCATGATCAGAGTTCCTCCACTATTGATGGCTCTATATCCCGTATGTCATAGAAATGTCTATATGGCACTGAGCCTGTAAGCCACACATGACTGCAGTAGAAATGTGTGCCTGTGGAAGTGTACAGAGAAGTGTGTGTCTTTGTATTAGATTCCCCTGCTGCCAGAAATTTAAATGTTTAATAAAATAAATGCTGTGCAGAGGTTCCAGTGAAGCACAAAACATGACTTGTTCAGAGCAGGAGAGAAACAGTCAGCTTCTTATTCCATGCGGTTTAGAACTGTAACCCAAGATTTTCCTTTCTGCTTTTTCAAATCAACAAGGTTTGTGTGTAATTTCCCCCCAGCCCCCTCCTCTGTACAGATATGCAGATTATATATAGAGAGGGATATGTGTGTGTATATATATGTGTGTGTGTATATATATATATATATCTATCTTGCTCGCTGAAGCAGCAGAAAGCCCGGCTTTGTTATGGCTGCCAACAGGGGGTGACATGACTTGGAAAATATTATTCTAGCAATTTTGCAAATTGCCATTCACTTTGTTTAATGAGGGAACTGTTTCTTTAACCAGGCCATGCCCCTTTGACAGATGTGGGTGGGGTTGGGAGCCTAGCCACACCCCAGTTGTGATTTCTCTGCTGAGAAATCCATAGCACGCTTAGTGTCAGCAGTAGCCAGAGCTCCCAGCAACAGCTGGCATCCCCTCCCCAGCATGCAGGCTGGGCGGGATCTGTCTGCAAAACCTCTCTGTCCTTAACCCTGTGTGCCCTCTCCATATTAACACGCTGCCTTTCATCTTTTCCATTTGCACTCCTAACCATTTGTTTTCATGCCCTGTAAGCGTGTGTCGTACGCTGTCACAGACTCTCTCAGTCTTGCATTGTTTCACAACAGTGGCAGCATGGGAGGAGGAAAGCTGCACTTGTGCTAAATAGCTCACTGAAGACCACCACCTTCTGGAATAGACAGCCTGACTACAGCTGGGTAGAAGGCAGCAAGGCAGATCTGCCAACCTGTGGACAGGACAAGCCAGAACTGACATGCCATTCTGCAAAGGGCATCGTGTTTTTCCTGTGGATTGTAACATGAGTCTTCAAATTGGATCCTGATCCAGAATTCTTCAACATTCCCAAATGATTGGATTCTATGCCCTGTGCTTGCGGCAAGTATTGGCCATCGTGCTTGGAAGGACTGCTACAAAAAAAAGGGTCATTTGTGTCCTCTGTGACCCAGTTGTAAGGCTGGAAAACTGATCCTACACGCCGTTGTACTGGAATGCATTGTGTCCTGCTTAAAACAGACAGCTGGATATAAGTCGTGTATGTGTGCGTATGTCTGCTCCAGCTCTCTTCTTGTCCTCACAGTTGTTGCCTTGTAGCCTGTGCTTAAGTTTGACTTGCCCTGAGGATGTCTCGCTTAGGCTGCCTTGTAACCCTTACCTGTCTGTGGCAGATGCTGCTAATGACCCTTGCTCTGGAGATGGGTTTATATGATGTGGAGAGGGGAAGAAATGCAAAATGTGAACTTATTCAGATCCCTATGTGTCAAGGCATTGGATACAACATGACTAGGATGCCCAACTATGTTGGCCATGAGTCTCAAGCAGAGGCAGCGGTAAAGTTACAGGAGTTTGCCCCGCTGGTGGAGTATGGCTGTCATGTTCACCTCCGCTTCTTCCTCTGCTCTCTTTATGCACCGATGTGCACTGAGCAGGTGTCCACTTCAATTCCTGCATGCAAACCCATGTGTGAATCTGCTCGTCTCAAGTGTGTCCCCATAATGGAGCAGTTTAGATTTGGCTGGCCTGATTCTTTGGACTGTGATCGTCTGCCTAGTAAAAATGACCCAAATGCGCTATGCATGGAGGCTCCTGAGAATGCCACAAATGGAGATCCTGTAACCAATGGACATGGCATGCTTCCTGTTGCTCCACGGCCTCCACGTCCATCAGGTGGAGAAATTAGTATACCCGGCCGCTGCCCAAATCCTGACAAATTTTTATATGTGGAGAGGAGCGGAGTTTGCGCCCCAAGGTGCTCCCCAGGGGTGGATGTCTATTGGTCTTCAAGTGATAAAGACTTTGCCTTAGTGTGGATGGCAGCCTGGTCTGGCCTTTGCTTCATCTCCACTGCCTTCACTGTATTGACTTTTTTATTACACCCTCAGAGATTCCAGTATCCTGAGAGACCAATTATTTTTCTCAGCATGTGTTACAATGTATACTGTACTGCATTTCTCATCCGAGCTGCAGCTGGAGCGCCCAGCATAGCTTGTGACCGGGAAGGTGGTGCCCCCTACTTGATCCGAGAAGGCCTGGAGAGCAGTGGTTGCACCCTTGTCTTTCTTATATTGTACTACTTTGGCATGGCCAGTTCACTGTGGTGGGTGGTATTAACTCTCACTTGGTTCCTGGCAGCGAGCAAGAAGTGGGGTCATGAGGCCATTGAGTCCCACGGAAGCTACTTTCACCTGGCTGCCTGGGGTATTCCAGCAGTGAAGACTATTATTATACTCACAATGCGAAAAGTAGGGGGAGATGAGCTCACTGGACTTTGCTATGTTGGAGGCTCGGATCCCAGTGCCCTAACTGGATTTGTTCTTGTGCCCCTTTCCTGCTACTTAGTGACCGGCACATCGTTTTTACTAACTGGCTTTGTAGCACTCTTCCACATCCGTCGTGTAATGAAAACCGGGGGAACCAATACAGAGAAATTGGAGAAGCTCATGGTTAAGATTGGTGTGTTCTCTATACTATATACTGTCCCAGCAACATGCATCATTGTCTGCTGCTTTTATGAAAGACTTAATTTGGCTCACTGGGAAGCCAGAGCTCGAGAAGAGCCCTGCAGGACAGCAGCTGGAAGTGGCAGACCAGATTGCACCTTGCCTACCTCCATACCTAGTGTAGCAGTTTTTATGCTCAAGATTTTTATGTCTCTAGCAATGGGCATAACAAGTGGTGTGTGGGTATGGAGTTCAAAGACATTACAAGCCTGGCAAGGAATTCTGTGCCAACGCCGGCTCGGGGTTGTGGGCACAAGGACTCGAGGGAAGCCTCAAAGCGGAGGAGGTATTCCCTGTAGCTTGAGCAGCTGCCCCTACAAACCCCCTCCCCTCTCTCTACAAGTGGCTAAAACAGACCTCTTCATGGACTGTCCAACACACGTGTGAAACACAAAATAATAGCTAATGAGTGTTTTCATGCCAAACTTGTAACTAGAAAGTATATTTATATCTGTGGGAAACCACAGTTTAACTGTTTGCTACAGAAACAATACAAAAGCCCTGTCAGTGGAATGTGAGAATCCTGTAAGGTTTTTTTTTCTCAGAGTGTGGATTAAGTGCATATAAATGGAATATGGTAAGGACAAGTGATACCTTGCCTGCAGAATAATTAATAAGATGGATAATATATTTTTTTGATGCTACCCAAAAGGAAACTTGTTCATGTCCCAGTTCTAGAGACATTACTGAAATGTTCCATATCAAAGACCCCTTTTTTGGCTGCTTTTATCTGAACACTAAGTCTATAAACATCTGTTTTCAAAGCTCAAATCCTGCTCTTCAAGCACAAAAGCAGAAATGACCCAATTTGGTGCCTATGTGACTGATCCAGTCCCGTCATCTTCAAGGAACTTACCTCCCAGCTAATGTTACACCTTGTAGTGCTAGCTGTATTACAGTGATTGTCACTGTTTCTGCAACAGATGCAGCTACGTAAGGCCATCCTTCATTCTGTGGATGAGTACTTTTACAGAATGCTGTAAACAACATTGTAAACCTTAAACTGCTCAGGGCCCTTTGCTACCAAAATAATGTAACCCTGATTTAAGCAGAATAGTACTGAACATTCATGTTCCGAGTTTTCTATTTGGAAGGAAATGCATTTTAGAAGTGCATATTTTAAATATAAGGGAATATATTTTCTTACACGATAGAAGTGCAATACGGTGGTTGGTTGGGTTTATTTTGGGGTTAATTACTGATGGTGAAGTATTTAAGTTCAGGACTGCTTGCTAGTTTTTGAGAATTTAAACTCCAAATGTTTCAAGCTTAATTGGAAAGAACCATTTTAGTCATTCAGATGTAGTTTGTGGAGGTATGATTTCATGTACAGCTTATTCAGAATTAGAAATACAATTATTTATTACAGAATAAGTCTGGTGCAAGCCTGTTACCTTCTCTGCCAATTGGGTTAAAGGGAAATAAGAAAAATATTATTATTCAAAATTCTCTCAAGTCTGTTTAACTGGGCTATGCTTATTAATTTAGTCATTTATTCACCTGATACAATACTACAAAACATAAAATCACTATGTTGGTATTCCACACATTATTAGTACTTCACAAAACTTTGACATTCTTTTTTTGGTAAATCAAGGAGGTCTCTTGGTCTCTCTAGTTTTGGAACAAACAAATGCTGACTGGGAGGGCTTGAGAAATTTGTAGCTCCATGACAGCTGGGGACCCGCAAGTTGCCTAAATTTGTACTAAGTAACAGGATTTGACAGAAGGGTCATGCTAGATATTAGGATGTCTTTTTATTGCACCATAAGGCTTGACATCTGTTAAAGATAGTTTCATTATTAACAATTGCATGGTCTTGACAGTGTTTGCTGCTGAAACCTGTTCTTGAGACATTGTGGTTTGACGTTAAACATTTAACTTGTTCACGTTCATAAAAGAAAATGTTCTAAAACCCGTGACTCATGAAAGTGACCACTGACATTTATGTACTATATTCTGCAAAGGTATTTCCAAAGTTTGCTGTGAAGTTTTTCTAATAAGCCAAAATATACAAACCCATAGCAGCTGTTAACGGAGCAGATAGTGCTATCAGCTGCAACTTCTCAAAGCTGATTTCTGATTGGTTGGGCATGTGCACATCATTGTCCTTTACTTTCTATTTACCCTTATAATGTCACAAAATAAATGTAAAATGCATACAAACTGGATGGCTTATTAGTAATTGTTCTTGATGTCCTGTTATTAATACGGACCTAATACTGGACATAAAGTTCAGACATAGGGGTTGATTTACTAACACTGGAGAGTGCAAAATCTGGTGAGCTGTGCACGGCAGCCAATCAGCTTCTAACTTCAGCTTGTTCAATTAAGCGTTGACCAAAAAATACTGGAAGATGATTGGTTTCTATGCAGCGCTTCACCAGATTTTGCACTCTCCAGTTTTAGTAAATCAGCCTCTACAGGGTTTTGCTTTACAAAGAACATTTCTGTACAGTAAGTATTAGCAGCCAATCAGAAATCAGTTTGGGGCAGTCTAAATACATTAAAATGCTCAAAGCAGACTGCTGATTGGATTCTGCGGGTTACAACAGTATCTCTTAATGCACTGTAGGCTTCTTATCAAAGTGTCACTACTAAGAACAAGAATTTTTCCACAGTTACCAAAGATTTTGACTGTCCGCTCAAAGCTGTCATTTTTGGCAGTGTTGAAACCAACAGGTGGGTGGGCAAAAATACAAAAATAACCATAGTTCCTGGTACTTTTTACCTTAATATGTTAATATTTGAGGACCCAGCTATGTTATCAAATATGTCCCATAAAATAGCAAAGCTACATGTGAGATATATTTTTGAAGTGCCTCCTAATGTGTACAGTATGTGTGTGTGTGTGTGTATATATATATATATATATATATATATATACACTGTGTATATACATATACAGACACAGTGTACAGATACATATATTGCACTTGTCTATAGGCATGCAGCATTTTGTTCAAAGCACTCCCTATCAGCCACGTGCACCAACTTTAAAAGCATTTAGATAATTCATTATAAAACATCAGACTTGCATACTTCTTTTGACACAAAAATGTCCCGCGCAGCCTTTCATCATGGATTGCTTGTTACATCTAGCTCCACAGTGTGCATAGTTCAGAACGAGAGCACAGATTAGTTGAGAGATGACTCATATATGCTGTGATGTGTAGTGATTGAAGTGATGATCGCTAGGTGGTTTTCAAGAATATAAAATGTATGTAATTTAAAGGTTTATATGACTTTTATATGAGATTGTGAGAATATTTATGAAAACAGACGCATTGAAAAAGATCCAAAAAATAATCACAATTATAATGTTAGCTACTGTTTGCTAAACTGCACTAGTAATAAAAAAAATAGGATCTTTTTGGCTGCTGTGCTGTCATAAATATTCTCTAGTGTGTTTACAGGTGGAGGGAAAACAGTGTTTTGAATGAAGTGTAGCCCACCACTTTAATATACAATAATCAATAGGTGTGCAGTACTAGGAAATGTTAGCGTACAAATCTCATATATTCTGTTTCTTAATAAGTATCTTGTTTAAAAGTTTCAGCTGCAGGAAAATACCTATTTACACTATAATGGAAGGAAGGAGCTGATTAGCTCTGATTCCTCTGGTGGCTTCAAAACAGGTTCCAAATAGAAGATCAGCAGGGTCCCAGGAGGTGGGGAGTCAGGATAGTGCCATTGGGGGTATTACACCAACACTGAAGAGATTTTCCTACATGTGTCTTTAAATAAGCTTCTGTAACTCGCTTGAACGTAAATACAGAGAGAGGGAGGCCAGCAGTGTGGGCCAGGCTCTGCTGCATTGTATAGAGCCAGCAACATAACATTGGGATCTTACTAACAGGTGGAGAGAGCAGGGTGCAGACCTCATCAGTGCTGTGAAGCTCCTCCATTTCCAAGGAGCAGACTGGAGGTGGATCCTTGACCATGTTTTACTGCTTAATTGTAGTGGATAACATAGAGGTCAGTGACCTGTCTATACTGTGTGGCAGTGGTGCCTAGGTTACAAGGCTAGCTGAATCACAAATCCTTGGATAGGTAAGCCAGCTAACACATTTATTTAGGTGGTTTGCCGGGTGTTCTAATGTAAATGGTGTACTTAAGCCTCTAGGTGGTATATATCAATCTGTAAGATAAATAAATATACATATATTAAATTGCCTCCCAGTCCTGAAGATGAATTGGTTTAGGTCAATGAAAAATAACAATGAATATCCCTTAATATAAAAAACTTCCCTTTATATAGTGCTATGTGTAATTTCATAAAAATGCAACTATTATTAGTGTTTTAAAGATATCTCCTGATGTGAAATTCAAATCATTCATATTTTTATATTTTCACTATCATACAATGACTGCATGTGGTTTGTAATGGGGGCCATCAGTAAATGAAAGAACCCCTGTGCCCTCAGCATATTATAGAGAGGCATTTTGTGAGCTAAATTGGTATTCATAAGGTTTTATTTTAAGCTATATTCAGTTCTTGCTATCAGAACATTTAGATACCTTGGATATGTGCTATTTTCTGCCAAACAGGAGCCAGTGAACTAGGACATAGCAGGATTTGCCAAGCTAGTGGAGCAACAACTAAATTACTGTCCTAGCTGCTGTTGCAGAGTCTGTTTACACCCGCCTGCATATGATCTGATCATATCCACTAAAAACAGATTGGATGACAGTCGGATGTAAATGGACAGGCGGTCTGTTTACATCCAACCACCCATAGAGGACAGCGGGCTGTGTCCGTGTCCACTCTGCATAAACGGAGTTGACACAAACCTGTCGTTCGCCGGCTTAGCGTGGATCAGCGGAGAGATTACCCGCTGAGCAGGCAGATTCGCTGGCGGAGTCTGTCGGCGTATAAGGGTTCTCACTCTTTTGAATAAGACATACACGGATCAACCATAACATTATAACCCCTGACAGGTAAAGTGAATAACACTGATTATCTCATGACAATGGCATCTGAAAGTGGGTAGGATATATTAGGCAGCAAGTGAACATGTTGTCCATGAAGTTTATGTGTTGTAAGCAGAAAAATGAACAAATGTAAGGATTTCAGCGACTTTAACTTGGAAAAAGTCGCTCAGATTGCTTAAAAAGTTAATGGTGGTTCCAATAGAAAGGTGTCAGAACACATAGTGTATCACAGTTTGTTGCATAGTGCAGATCGGTTAGTGTGCCCATGTCGACAGTTAAAATCACCTACAATGAGCACAGAATTGGACCAGGTAGAAAAGGAAGAAGGTGTCTTTAAGGTGTGGACTTCACCTCCAAATTCTCAAGATCTCAATCTATTTGAGCATTTATGGGATGTTCTGGAAAAATAAGCCCAATGCATGGAGGACCCACCTTGTGACTTACAGGACTTA